CCCTCCTCCTCCTCCTTGTAGCTCTGCGAGTCCAGTATTCCCTCGCTCTCCCCGCCACCGCTTTGACCTCTTACCTTCTTTGAAGTTGTAATAGGTCTCTCGGCTCTTGGTCTCGCACCATTTCAGTTTGTAATCCTCCCTTTTGTTGTCATGGATACGCTGCCAGCCTTTGCTCCTGCAGTAGACGCTCACCCTGTGTAGAGAACAAAATAGCAAAGCAGCCCCTGCTTTTAATGAAGAGTTAATTAGCTCAGAGTCCTTCAATTCCCTGAGATTGTCCCTAGAGGGCTGACTCAACAACACCTACAAGCCCTGAGGTGGGGGAGAGGGGGCTTCTCCCCTCTCTAGTTCATTAGAGTGTACCCTTGTGGGACTGTACTGGGGTTTTTGAGAAGTGGTGATGATGGTGGTACAGACCTCGTTAATGAAGGCTGAGCTGATCAAATGGGGCTATTTCAATTAGGAGGGAAATGGTACCTGTGGGAGCCCTGTGTAGTGGGTGGCTTGGCAAGAAATTTCTCGGCCTAAGACTTCAAAAATGAGGGGGAAGAGAGAACAGCTAAGTAGCCACTGGAAAAACTGAATGTGTTTGTAAACCCAGTGTGGTGGCACTTGAAGAGTTAATGAGGAAAGCCCATGGAACCGTAGCAAGGAGCGAGACAGGGCCCCAGAGTTTGCTTCTATTCTGTGTCAGGTTCCGGTGACTGCAACTCAAAAAGGATGTTGGCAAATTGGAAAGTTACAAGAATGACTTGAGGTGGGGTGTGTGGAAATGTCTTCTAGTGAGAGGCTTAAGACGCTCAATCTATTTAGTTTATCAAAGAGAAGATTAAGCGGTGATTTGTAGGCTGTGATCAAATACCTGCAGGGGAATAGATTTCTGATAGTAGTCAGCTCTTGAAGCTGGCAGGAAAAGGTATAACAACATCCAGTGTCTGGAAGTTGAAGCAAGACAAAGTCAGACTGGAGAGAGGCTCAATTTATAAACAGCGAGGATAATTAACCATTGGAACAAACTACCGAGCGCCAGGGTGGATTGTCCATCGCTTGCGGTATTGAAATCAAGACTGGATGTCTTTCGACAAGACATGCTATTGCTAAACTGAAGTTAGGGGCTTGATACTGCAGAGATTAGCGAGGGGAGGGGCTAAGGCCTATGCTTTGCAGAAGATCAAACTACATGATCATAATAGTCCCTATTGGCCTTAAAATCTATTAATCTAACTACACAGAAGTCTCTGGGGAGAAGAATGACTTACAGTCCAGCCCCGTTAGCACCGCCAATGTAAAAGAACGGCCCTGACGACGGAGGCTCCTCCACCTTCTTGTCTTCCGGCTGATCTACTTCAGGGACTGTTTTGTGATTTGTTTTATTCCCTTTGGACTTGGCTTCATCCACCAGCTCCACTTCAGATGCGCTGGAAGCAGCTGCAAGAATTAGAAAGAGGGAGACTTGAGCCAGGTTAGCGAGGTCTTCTCTATCAAAAGCACTATCTCAGCAGAAGCTAGCAATGGAAAAGCACATATGATGTTCTATCGTCTAGTCTATTCAATGGCCAGTGCAGGGCATGGTCCCTAGATAGAAGAGGGATCAGATATTAAACTGATGGCAGATATTTGGGTGTGTGAACAAAATAAAAAAAAACGAACAGGGCAGAGATTTCCAGGAAACGCTTCTTGTAAATCTGCATTGGCCCATGGTGACAGTCTTACTCAGTATTCACAGTGATTAGAGGAGATGCAAGGTTTTATGGTTAAAACACTCAGCTGGGACTCAGGAGATCTGAGTTCAATTCCTAGATTTGCCACAGAGTCCCTATATGATCTTGGGCAAGTCACTTCATCCCTCTATGCCTCAGTTTCCCTAGCTGTAAAATGGAGAATGGCACCTCCCTATCTGAGCAGGTGTTGCAAGAATAGATTTGTTAATGCTTGTAAGGTTCCCAGGTATGCTAGCGATGGGACCATAAAAATGCCTATAACTCAATTATTCATATCAGAAATGCAGGACCACAGAGTTGGCGAGAGTTTTGCACAGGTCGGGAGTGAAGAATAAGCCACTACGTTACGACATTGACTCTAGCGAGTCTAACCACGCTTTGAAGCAGATGATCATGAGTCTATTTGAAGCCTATAGAATTTCGCTGCGTATGCAGAAAGTGACAGCTCTCAGGTCCCGTTCTCAGTGATAGGCGGCCAGGAAATGGAACGGCACGAATTAATTGGGGTGACATGACTGTAGGAGTTGTGTGGGTGGGAATGAGAAACGTTCAGCCCGCTTCAGACTGGTAACTAATCAGGTCAGGGCTTGCCATGGTTCTGTTACTTATTCTCAGATGCTAAGGCTCAGATGCTGATGAACTGGCAGGGGATAATAATGATGTTCAGAACAAAGCTAATGAGATTGGCCCCATCTTCAAGAGCTGCAGTGTGATTTCCTGAAGAGAATGAGGCTGGTATCCAGTGCCAGCAATCAGCAGGCATA